TATTTGACAAAATATATTAAATTGTTCATTTTTATAGTTCTCACATTCTTATAAGTTTATGAAGCACGTAGCTCTTGTATGAGTATCGTTGCGGATAATAGATTCTTATAGCTCTCAAACTAAATTTTTAGATGTTGTTTGACATTTGATAGATCTAAATTATTTGTTAAAATACAATTCATAGTGCATAAAATGTATAAATCATTCTCATATTATATTTTATAATTTTCTGAAACTAGAGAGTAATCATTTTGACAAATCAATTAATTAGTTGGGAAGATATAGAAAGAGTACAATATCGGATTTTGGAATTGATCATATAATTTATGTTTTATTTATTGATTGAATTTGCACATTCTGACAAAAAAAATCTAGAAAAAAGTTTTTGAATATCTATGATACTTGATCGCCGGATAAACAATAAGTGGAAGTAAACAACATGTGAAAGTGATTTCTTTATAGTTAAACAAAATCCTATATGACCACATAAAACCTAGCTACCATTTATGTTGATGAATTCAAGAATTTATTTTTATCATTAATAATAATAGTTTTTTTAATATTGGTCCCTCACATCATTAATATTTTGAAATTAGATCTTCAAATCATTAATTTACTCTTAAGTCATTAATATTTTAAGACATTGTTCCGTGAAAGGCAAAATGTTGAAACCAACAAGACATTACACATGGAAATATCCAGAAAATTTTAATATATTATGATAATCATAATTTTTTTTTGTAAACATGTTATAGTAAACAAATAAACTTAAAATAAATAATTTAGATATTTGCCCACGTGCAGTGCACGTGCATTCCACCTAGTCATACTCTAAAATCTTGACATGCGTCAAGTGCTCTAGAATTTGACACGTAGCTTCTCAGGGTATTGCTTTAGTATATTATAGAGATAGATTCTCAAATTAGAAAAATAAAAGCTTTATTCAATGGCGATAATATTTCTCCTTCATAAATGAAGGTAACGCTTGTTTATCTATTTTCATAAGAGCAAATTAAGATATCAGGATAGCATTCTCTCTCTTTTTTGAGAATTTACTAACAAACTTTGTAAAAGGAAGTAAAAGGGGGTAATTAAGACGTGCATATCTTAGTTTTTAAATTCTAGATTCTTGGTTTGGCAAACAACTCATATTAGAAAACTCTGTATGCTTTATCATGTTCACCGGCATGTAGTCCATTCGTAAGATTCTTCCCCAGCTGGACCAAACAGTTTTAGGCTTCGCTATCGATATAACAATAGAGTACAGTTATGAGATCAGAAAATACTCAGCTACATATTATTATTATTTTTTTTGAAGATGAACTTTAGGATGATCTTTAAAATATTATCAGGAAGCATATGGAGTGCACATAAATAAATTAAACGTTCGGTTCAAAAGGTCCAATGGTGCAAAGACACTGGGGGTGACATCGGAATCGCAATGTTTGACTGGGACTAGAGTAATGCAAAGTCAGTGAGTGCATGAACGTTAAGATTGCAGAACATTAGAAAGTTAATTAAACAGGAGTTAATGGTAATTAGGATTTATGTTAATTTATCTCGCTCTAGCAACTAGGCCTTTTTAGGGATGAATTCTCCGAGATCTCTATCATCTTTTTGGAGTTGAAGCAAATATAATTTTTTTTTTTTACATTTGGAATATAGAACATGAAGCACAAATATTAACTAGGCATGAAGAAATTTATTTAGAAAAACCAAAACAACTAGGCATGAAGAATTTGTACTATTGGAAGATATCACAAACCCAACAAGGGCGTCTAGAGTGAAGAGAGAATGAAAGTCAAGCTTCAAAGAAAAGCAAAGAAACCAATATCCTTTTCTTTGGCTAATATAATAAGGGGTTTTTGGCCCGTCTAGAAAATATCTTTAAAATAGGGTCATTCTCTAGAAATAACCTTCGAATTTGAATTAACACCTAAACCATCTTTAACGGAAAATTTGGTGCAATTAACCACCTCCTAGTTAAATTCACACTGAAAACTCAAAGATACCCTTAAAAAGCTTATGACAAGGCATGTGATTTATATGCTAACATGACCTAAATGTTAACCAAGTGCGTCACGTGTCCTAAGCGTGAGTTTTTTAAGGATGTTTTCGGATTTTCAGTAAAAATTTTGAATGAGGCGGTTGATCGCATCATAGTGTCCTTTAAAAGTGGTCCATGTACTAGGTAAAATTCAAAAGTGGGATTCTTATAGAACAACTCTATTTTAAAGATGGTTTCTAGGAAAAAGAAACCCATATAATAATGTTTGATTATGTAAAGTAAAAGCTTACGCTTATTCTTCAACTTTAAACCTACTATAAGCTTTAATAAGATAAACATGATGGCCTAATCTTTAGAACAATGTTTAAGGGACAAAAGACAACAGCAACACTTTTAATAATCTGAAGTTGGTAAGAAGGACAACACTTGTGATGCCCTAGGCAACCTAATGGAGTGTGCTCTGCTTTCGGAGGATAACAGGTGCTCAAGCTATAAATTGCCCATATGGAAACAGATAGCCAAAAAGGACCTCATACGAAAGAGAGCGCCAAGGGAAAAAAAAAGTACTCTGAGGGCCCTCTAGAGAAAATCATACAGGAGAGCATAAAGAAACATGACGCCTATCAATTTTAAATCATTGCAATTAGTAAAACATCCCGGCATCCAAACGCTATATCAAGACAACTACCAACTTTAAAATGTGAACCGCAAACGTGTCATGTTCTCACTCCCTCCTACAAAATTTCAAAGAGTCTCCTATATGCCGAAGGTCACTGTCATGACACAAAAAATCTGAAATTGTGATAAACGGTTGATGGGTACAGTTTATACTCTAACATGCCTTGCAGATTGGGCAGACTTTTTACAAAATAAAACTTGGACTCACGCAGCAACATCATTTTTCAACCCACTTTTAAATTTGTAGCCAGATAAAAATTTGAACCAGTGTTAGCTTTCGTATCCCTTTAAAGGTTATAATGAGGGTGGAGGGATACATCGTAACACTCTCGCGCGCACAAGGTAGCGTAGATTCAACCCCCCCCCCCCCCAAAAAAAAAAAAAAAGTGTATCCTTTGTCATGTTATTTGAGCATACACCATATACTTTTTGGCTACATGTGCTTGCTCTATATGCTACTACACTTGCTTTGTTTCAGAACCAAAAGAGGGCATACAAGAGATTTGCCCATCTGTTCTCCATATCCTAGATTCTGGCCTTGTGACTTGTGAGTCGTGGCCCTTCTATGATTGGAACTGAAACACGTTATTCAAAAGCCGTGTCCTTTGTGAACGTACCAAAAGAAAGAAAGATTCTTCAGAGAAA